TTTTCCATCCCAATTCTAAGTCTTCCCTGCCTATGACCCTCAATTAAACAGTAACTTTCCTCAGTCGTTTACATGTTTCATTAGACACCAGGTTTCTACTGTTTTCTTTTGATTTGGTTCCTCTTTCTGGAACTGCATTACAACTGGGCTATATATAATGAAGAATAAGAAGAATGCCCAGTCTTAAGGAAACTAATTTGCCAAGATCTCAATGCAAGCATGCCTACAGCAAACTATTGTAAAACTACAGCAAAAGGGGCATGCAGAGACATAATTCTGTAATGAATTTTCTATACACATTTATGCTTTGCTCAAACATTTACCACATCTTCACAGTTCAATACCTAAAGCAGATAGATATTCAAGTCTATCCATTATCACCGTACTTCAGTCCCATCACTGAATTGTTCCTTCTCTATAGCAGACGTACTCTACAAATGGTTCCTAATTATCCCTTCTTCCTACTATTTATGTCACCTATTGATGAGCATGGGAAAGAGCAAGACTTCCTTCTACTAAACAGCAGAATATGACAAAAGTAACAGGCTATCACTTCCTTTAGTACATTAACAAGACACTGTGGCTTCAGGCTGCTATTTGGAAGAGAGCAACATGTACAGAAGTGACAGCAGCATCTAGCTAACGTACAACTAAGTCTAAAACCTTCAGGCCAACAGCCCAAAAGGGGTCAAATCCTCCAACAACTATTTAAGAAAACTAAGCAGATGAGTCCCCAGATGGACTTTCAAATGAGACCCAAGTTCTTGATTATAGCAGGATAAGAAATTGAGTAACAAATTCAACTAAGCGAAGCCCTGGTGGGGCGGGCCCACAGAAAATGTAAGATTAGTGAGTATGCACTGCTTAAAAACACTAAAGCATTTGTTTATGGTGATTTTTAAATGTAGCAATGCAATTCTGTTCATATCAACAAATGGCCTCAAATTTCAGGTGGAGACAACCTCAACATCTTCTAGCATCCTGCACATTTACCTCCTCCAGTAAAGCCTTTAATGTCTATCCTCCTACCCAAAACCTTCATTAACTCTGTGGCATGTTAGCCAGGCATTAGTGGCGCACACCTTTAATCCCAGCACTTGGGAGGGAGAGGCAGGTGGATCTCTGAGAGTTCCAGACCAGCCTGGTCTACAAGAGCTAGTTCCAGGACAGCCTCCAAAGCCACAGAAAAACTCTGTCTCAAAAAAAAAAAAAAAAAAAAAAAAAAAAAAAAAAAAAAAAAAAATAAAAAGGGGAGCCTGGCAGAAAAAAAAACAAAAAAAAACCTTGTATAAAAAAAAAAAAAAAAAAAAAAAAAAAAAACCTCTGTGGCATGTTATACTTGTTTTGACCTCCTATACTTATTATATTATAAAAGCACATAATGCAAGTGGCAAAAAAAAAATTGAATACACATATAATAATCCCACCTGATTGAGATTAAGATTGTTTTCAATACTCAGGGGAATGAGATGAGGCAGTACTTTTCCAGCCAGCTGCTCTTTGGTGATTCCCAGTTTCTTGTGAGTAAAAGTACATTTATAAATACCTGAGAAAAAAACAGAGTAATAAACTTTAGAAATTGGCACCTACAGTTCATAGAAACCATTAACATTATCTACAGAAGGCCTCTGGTAATGGGTATGGCACAGATTTCCTCTTCTTAAAATAAGCATGCTCTCTTCGTTGTGGACCACAGTGACTCAGTTGCACTGAGCACATTTAATGGCAACACAAAACTAAAGCCTTGGTTATGATAATGCAGCAATTGGGTTGCAGAATAACCCCTTGCCCTGAAATCATCTATCTCAGACTCTATTTCAAGATGTTTAAATACAGGTACAGTGAAGAATAGTCTCCACTTTTATTTCTCCTAATACTAAAATTCAGAGTAGCAGCTTTGTACTTGACACTACTTTATGGAAAAAAATTACACACTATCACATCAACAGAAATGATAATCTCCCCACTTCCCCAAACATGGGACTAAAATTCAGAACATGCCTGTGAGTCAAGTGCTCTGATATAGCCCCAGCCATTTAGTTTATAAATGTCAAGAGTCTACTTCTTTTGCTAAAATAGAGCAAAGCTATATTGTGGTGTTTATCTAATGATTCTACAGCTCCATAAGTCAGTCAGTCAGACAGACAGACAGACAGACAGAGCACAATAGTTTTATAAAATGGACATTTTAATAGAAAACTATTATGTAAGATTAAGATGATACCAAATGACATTAAGTTTTCAGCTACCTAAAATTCCCATGAGGACTGCAGGCTCCTTGGAGGGAATTTGTTGTAAGAAGGGTAGGATATCATCAAGTACAAACCACTTATCCAAGTACTCCAAAATCTTTCCTAAGCAGACTAATGAATTCACACGAACCTGTTAAAAGAGATAAATTGCATGTAAACTTGTCATGTAAAGTTTTCTCATGTAAAACAAAATAATTCAGTATAAATTTAGTCTTCCAAACAGGCACATGGTAAAAAAAAAAATCACAATAAAAATAGGCTTATTTAAATAGATTATGAACATGGATTCATTAACATAAGATATTTGACAGGTGGTGGTGGCACACTCCTTTAACTCAAAGCACTTGGGAGGCAGAGGCAGGCAGATCTCAAAGTTCACTGTCAGACTGGTCTGCAGAGTGAGGACAACGGAGGCTACACAAAAAAGCCTTGCCTTGAAAAACAAAACAAAACAAATCAAATAAACAAAAAAAAAGGAAAAAAGAAATTCCCTTATTTACTAATTTCCTGGCATGTTACGGAAAGAACTCCAGATGCTCCAACTGAGATACTATAGATAAAGACAAGAAAGAGGTTCAACCTTGTAATGGTCACTCGTCCACTCATTCATTTCTATGGTGCCAGGGAACAAGAGCCAGAGCCTTGCACCTATCACCCAAGTTGTCAGTGAGTGACAATCCCAGTCCTGCAGGACTGTGAGGGCTTTTATTTGTTTATAAGCAAAATGTAACTATAAAGGGGATATATTCCACCAAGCAGCCAATCTCACATAGATTTAGTTACTTTAAGGGAGGTTCAACTCATTCTTAAAATTAAATATTTTAACTGAAATTGTCCATATTAATCTATGGCCATCCCACCCTAGATATTCCCAATCTCCTAGGAGATTATCCACATCTGCCTTACATAAAATTTCACATTTCTGAATACATCTTTAATATACTCACGAATGTTCAACATTTGTAAGCTCTTTAAAAATTTTTATATTCATTCACCTTTTGATGCACATCATACCCTCAGTTAGCTGTAATTGGTTCCATTTATTGAATGATTTATGTGGGTGGTTGTGTGCATGCCACAACATGCATGTCAAGTCGAAAGATAACTTGCCAGAGTTGGTTCTCTTCTTTAGTCAGTAGGTTATGGGAATCAAACTCAGGTGGTCAGGTTTGCAGCATGCACTTTTACCCGCTGAGCCATCTTCCTGGCCCTTTTAAGTGGGATTTCCTTAGACCAGGGCTGCTGGCAAAGAACTCTGATCCTGTTATTCAGGACATGGGAGTAGGAAGATCTCAAGCTCAAGGCCAGCTTGGGCAATTCAGAAGGACCCTGTCCTAAGGTAAAAAGAAGTGGGCTGGGGCTTGACACCCTGATGCACACCTATCACCCCAGGACTCAGGAGGTAAAAGCAGAAGATTCGAATTCAAAGGCAGCCAATAAAGCAAGGTCAATGCTACCTTTGGCCTAGGCTACTTTAAAAACAACACACACATGGAAAAGAGAGGGGGAAGGGCTGGGAATACAGGTGAGTAGGAGGAGTACTTTTCTAGCATATGCCAGACCATGGATTCAGGATTTAGTACCAAGTCATCCCTCTCCCAATCTCCCCCCAAAACAAGGGTATCTGTAAGTCATGTTCATAATATTAATGAAACCCTATCAATAAAACTCTAGTCTTAAAACACTAAGCAGAAAATAATTCCATGGATTAATAGTTGTACATGAATATAAAGAAAATTTTCATTTTGCTCAACTATTTTCTGAAACTTAAGCACAGAATAATGTAAATACCATCTGAAGGCTTAACATGTTCTCAGAGTCCGTTTCTTACACTAAAGAACCAATGCATCTACTAGACATAAATCAAAAATATTGGTTCAATTTTATTTTCCTTTATGATGTACAAAATATTAAATATATTTCAATTATACCTTTTGAAACACTACACCTAGCTATGTACTGTTTTTTTTTTTTTTTCATTTTCAGGCAATTTTAACCGATGGTTAATGATTTAGGCATTTCCTAGTTAAAGCTGCCAGACCTTAGAGAGTGAGATTATAAATACACTATAGATTTCCTATCTGCCATACAAAGGGAAGCAAGAAGTATGGAAAGTTGCACCTAAAATGTATTTATAAAAGTGAGACATAAGGGCAGGAGAGATGGCTCAGTGGTTAAGAGCACCACTGCTCTTCCAGAGGTCCTGAGTTCAATTCCCAACAACCACATGGTGGCTCACAAACATCTGTTATGAGATCTGGTGCTCTCTTCTGGTATGCAGATATACATGGAAGCAGAATGTTGTATACATAATAAAATCTTTTTAAAAAGTGAGACATAAAATGCAAATCCACCCCAGAATTGCTATTTTAAGCCATATTCACTGTGCATCCTCATAAGCATCCTGTCTTGAAGGACCAGGGCAACAGTGGCACTAGTGTAGACCACACAGTGTCTGCAGTCCCTGCATTCACACACTCCTGCACACTATACATAACTGAAGAATACTTTGACAAGATTTCTGTTGACATAAACTTATAACAGTATAAAGAAAGCATAGGGTTTCCGGAATGGCATTTTAAAAACTGAAATTTTGCCATCTATTTTGAAAAGTCAATATAAGAATCAGTATTTCCTAGAGGTTTTAGGACATGCTCATGGCCATAGGCAGTTAGTGACAAAATCAGAATAAAACCATTTCCCCATGCTTGCACTTCAGAAAAGACTTTTTTTCAACCACTTCAGTCTTCTTTCTAGCTTCCATCTCAGAGCTCTTCTGCCAAGGAACATCAACTGAAATGGATAAGATGTTTGGAAAG